TGTATCCTGTTTCACCCTCTATAATGCCACCGGGGTGATATGATCCAAAGCATTAGCCCTAGATTTTGTAGTTGCTCCTAGATAAGCTATGTTGAATGAAAGAGATTGAAAGAGAGATTTAGCTAAGCTTCCTCTTAACCCTAAACTCACTCTCTTTGAGCTTTAAGGTTAATTCTTGGTAGTTGTTTTCTTATTGGTTATAAGAGGTCCTTATATAGATTCTCAAACAAACCGACTTATAATTAAAAGGAAAACTATAAAAAACCTTAATCTAATTGTAAAAAGGAAAACCATTAAAAACCCCAAAACCATTGATCGTATCACGGGGCTAAATGCATTTAGCGAAATCGTCTTTAGCTTAATTGTTTTTATCTTTATACTCTATATGTTTGTTACTTCAGGGGGCTATAAACTTGCTGATGCATGTTTACAGAAAGGAGTTTACAGCTATGGGAGGCTATCTAACAGATTCTGGTGAGGTAAGTTATTGTTCTTTTTACCTTCTCCCACATTTAAGTCTCGCTTCACATGGCTCAATACCTAATTTGTATGAGCTGTAAAAAAATGTCATTTATTTATGGCCACTAATCACTAATGCCTCGATGATTATTAATGAAAATTTGAACCGCATTATTTCCATGTAACTGTTTTTTTTTTCTAATCCATATACAATTGCCTCTTTTTTCTGCATTGAAAGGTTTTACTTGATAGAGTAGAGCATTTCATTCAAGCTGTCGCTATAAATGAAGATCAAATATTCCAGAAAAGGACGCGGATAAAACAGGTATTCCGAATCTATCCCATATCTCCTGTTATGCAACCTTTTGGAGGCTTTAGGAAAGTAGTGTGCTCATACCCTGAATCCCTGATAAGGCACTAACTAACTAATCAATGTTGTACCCAACATGTCACCATGCTTTTGCCACTGACCTTCACGTTGGGTCACTATACCCTGTCTGTGATCCCTTTCTTATTTCATCATTCTACTTTGTTGTGCTGTGGCCGTCTGGGTAGCTTCTGATACGAGTTGCTAGGAATCCGGAATCATGTAAGAGGGCCAATACATTTTCTTGTTAGGGTAATGGGTAGAACACTAGAACTCACCCATATAAGCTAGCTTTTGACTGAATGGTGCTCCTTATAAGTCAATAATCGCCACTCTTAATCAATGGGTCTGTATCTTCTGTTATGTTAAAATTGCATAAGTTATGCCTAATTGTGTGCGAATGTTGGTATCAGTCAATGGATAACAATGAAGAAATGAAACAAAGATCAAGAAGAGACCCATCTGAGACACCACCTGAACCGATAGATGATAAGGTAAAGTAGATTATTGCAACGTTCTCTCGGAATGAGTCTCTTAGCTGTAGAAATTCTTATTCTTTATTAAAAGAGGAAATTGTTTAGGAGGTACAAAAAAAAATTGCTCTTTCAATTTGTGTAGATTAAGCTAGGAGAGCCAGGCTACAAGGAGAGGTATTATGCTGAGAAATTTAGTACGACCAATCCAGAGGAAACTGAGCAAATCAAGCAAGACTTGGTGAGTTTTACGTCAATCAACTTCACTGACCCTTCTGACGACTTGCATAAATCAAGAGTTGAATAAAGGTTTCTACAGGCCATATACTAAATGTTACTTCATACGCATTTAGACTCTGAACATACCATTAAGTCTCTCATTTTGAAGATATCTGACCCCCAAGTCACTTAATATTTGCACAGTTCTTTTTATATTCGAAGGAGGTTTATAACTACTTCCATGAAATGACTCCTGAGACTATTTTGGATGAACAGGAAACTGTGATAAAGTCTATTTACCTATTTGCTTTGTAGGTACTTAAATATGTTGAAGGTTTGTGCTGGGTTTGCCGGTACTACTACCAAGGTGTATGCTCTTGGCAATGGTAAGTCTGTCTTTGTAAAAATTTACATGAGAATGTCATGGTCTTCTCATGAAAGCCATGCATTGTAACAAATACTAGAATATCTTATGTTACTGTAGACTGATGAATCTCTTCTCGAGAAAGACCTTGATGTTAATACTGAGTTGAAAATTTAAATGCAAGTCTGACCCTTCCTTCTAATTGTTTCAGGTTTTACCCATACCATTATGCTCCATTTGCTTCAGATCTTAAGAATCTATCTGATTTGGAAATCACATTTTTCATTGGAGAGCCCTTTAAACCTTTTGATCAACTAATGGGAACCCTGCCGGCTGCAAGGTTCTTTCCTTTTTTGTGGAACCTCAGTTATTATTTTTTAAGCGCCTGCGGTGATGTTAAGTGTGTTTCGTGGTTGCTGCAGCTCAAATGCTCTGCCTGAAGAATACCGGAAGTTGATGTCTGATCCCTCATCTCCGATCCTGAAATTTTACCCTGATGGTAATCGTTTGGTGCTGAATTTATTTATATGGTTTGTTTCCTATGCATGTATGCTGGATAGATTAGTGGATACTTATAACCTATCATTCTATTTACAGATTTTGAGATTGACATGAATGGAAAACGCTTCGCTTGGCAGGTACATCATTGTCTGTATTCTTTCGATATCAGTGATGATTTTATCACGATATCTGTGTTCTTCAGATTTTGATGTTGTGTCTTTTGCACTTCCTGTGATCCAGGGTATTGCAAAACTTCCCTTCATTGAGGAGAAATTATTGTTAGCTGCTACAAGGAAGCTTGAAGAAACGCTAACGGTTTGAACTAAACCTTCACTTGAAATAGATATGCTATCGTTTGGTCACACGGAAAAACTATAAATCTTAATGAAAGATAAATTCTTGGAACTTCATGATCGTGTTCTGTTAACTATAAAGTAGCTTTAAAGCCTAGATTGCTCTAGCCTTCGGTTTTCAATGTCAGTGGCTTGTAGTAACAAGAATTGAAAATAATTAGTTACTAAAATATTCATTATGGAATCAATCTCGTAGGTGGAAGAACAGCAACGCAACAGCGTGATGCTTGATTTGTTATACGTACATCCCACTCATCCACTGGGCCAGCGGGTTATGCAGTACTACAAGTTCTATCACCAGTTGCCACCACATGAATGTCTTCCATGGATTATTGACCCGAATTCTAGGTTAGCTTTGATTGGCTAAATTAATAGTTAGTAAGCTGGTGTATAGTCTGGATATCGAGCTTGTTCTTACTCTCGATTCTTGTGTTTGGTTGTAGCCAAGGGATGAACGGTTATCTCTGGTTTAGTGAAAGGAATGGTTTCCAAAGTAGAGTGGTATCCCCTGTCAATGGTTTGCCATGCATTGAGCAGAACCGAGCCTTGTGAGTTTCTTGTGCTTCACAAGTTAGTGTTTTATGAAATTGCGAGTTACTCACTTACGACTTTTTCCAGAAACATTACGTACTTGAATCCTGCCAAACACTCTCATATCCCAGAACCACCAAGAGGAGCAATCATTCCCGACAAGGTATGTTGCCCCAAAAAAGTTTTTCTGCATCAAAAGTAATCTATCTGCTTGTATCTCAAGTGTCAACGTTTTGTCTGGTGAATATTCATTGCAAAACAAGTGGATCGATATTAATTATGGAAGTTCAATTTGCAGATCTTAACGTCAGCAGATATAAAGCCATTTCCCGTTTTATGGCATGAAGACAATAGCAGCCGACGGCGACAAGCCCGAGATAGGTAAGTGTATTTTATAGAGCAGACTGATAATTTGAAGTATGTGAAAAAGAAACACCATATGATATATATATCTACGGTGCAGACCACAAGTGGCTGGCGCTATAGCCGGACATACACTGGGAGAAGCAGCTCATCGTCTGATCAAAAACACCCTGAACATGAAATCCTCAAGTGGTTCAGCTTCAGGATTAATTGACCCAAACTCATACAACAGAAGCGTACCGGGTAATAATCCTTATCACGGTGGAGTCAATAGACCAAGAGCAGCGGGTTCGTCTTACAGGAAAGCATACGACGATGACTCGAGCTATTACTATTACGGAAAGTACCACAATAGCTCTCAGAATATGTACAGCAACGGTCCAAGATATCCTGGTCCGATAAACAGATCACCAGACTATAGCCGAAACTACAACAACACCAATATGATAGTAGACCAGCAGAACCGTGGTGGACTCAGAGCTGGAATGTCGGGTTTATCGATAGATGATAATGGCAGAAGCAAACAGCTGTATTCAAGTTATACAGAAGCTGCTACTGCAAATCTCAACCCGTTTCCTTCACCGCCCACACAATGGATGGGTGCACCGCAAGGCGGGAGTTTCAGCGGTGGATACTTCAGGGAAGAAACAAATGGAAAACCGGGAAAGAAAGTGATTTATCAGGCCAAGCCACAACAAAGTCATCGAGGCGCAAGTGAATGAGATTTTAGTTAAGGCTAGGTATGTTCTTTTGTACAGGCGGTGTATCGGACACCTAAGTTCTTTCATTTACGGCATGGATTGTCCTTTTGTTCTGGTAACAGCGTTCCCAAGCTGCATATTCTGCCATCCTTTGCTTGTAAAATGTACGTGACATTTTTTTCTCGTTTTTCTACTTGTTCGGTTTTAAACTATTCACCAGAATGGAATAGTTATCCTGTTGTGGCATTGATTGACGACTATTGTTGATCATTATTCCTGCTCGAGTATTTCCCTATTCGTTCCTTCATCTTTTCCAGTTTGGAATCTTCTAGCAACGACGATATGATGAGGTTTCTTTCATATTTTTGTGAATTTTGAAACCAATCATAATTTGTTTACTTGTTTTAAAACTTTTAACTTGCATCCTTTTATATATATATATATATATAGTTTTTGTCGCATGATTCGGAGATCTTTGTCATTTTCTCCTCATTGAGACTGATCCAATTATATTTTCCAGACTCACAATCGCTTCACGGACATGAACTTGCAAAATCTGAGTAACATCAAGGTGTTTTTAATCAATCTTCATATTAACGAGAATCAAGGTGTACTGAAACATTGCAAAAATTGTAATAACATCATTAACATAATATTAAACATCATCATTTATTGGATGAAATAACCACTTAAGAACAGCATAAAGAAGAGGAAGAGACTCCCAAAGATCAAAGCAGTTTTCTGACCAGAAGTCAATGCATTACCACCAAGTCCGTATTGTTGGTTCTGAGCAAAACCAGCAATCTCAACCATCTTACTCTCAAAGAAACTCTGAGCAGCTCCACAAGTCGGACATCTCCAATCTTCAGGCAACTTATCAAACTGAAACCCAGGTGGAATCGGGTACGATGGGTCACCCGTTGATTCATCGTACTTGTAACCACATGATCTACACTCATAGATCCCAGTATTCAAAACCGCGAATTTCTCCTCTTCTCTTCTTCGTTTCTCAATCGCATCTTCGAGTTCCACGGTCTCTGTTTCCTGAGGAAGAGGCGTGTTGGTGTCGGTGTCGTCTCTCGACACGGCTAGGTACCGAGCAGGGGTAGAATTGTAATTTGTGAGGTGAAGTTGAAGCTGCTGTCTCTTGCCATATCTGAGAAATGGAGTCTGTTTCAGAGAAGGAGAGTGAGAAAGAAGGGAGAAGGAGAAGGTCGCACTCGCCATTTTCGTTTACTTATAATTCCTGGGTTTGCTCATTGTTAGACAAGGATCCATTGGTGAGAGGAGAGGTACGAAAAGACACAAGCTTGGATAAGATTTTTGGAATTTCATCGTGACCAACACGTGGCTTTCTCTCCATCGTATTTCTCTATATATTAAACCCCAATATAATCCTCCGGTCCTTTCGTCTTTTTGAGAGTTATTTACAAACTAGTATTGTCTTCCCGTGCCTATGCACGGTTTAATTTCGGAGAAAATTACATACAAATGCACTTTATGAGTTTGGAATTACAGGATAAGGCACTTCTTGAGTGAGGTGCACTTTGGAGGTCTGAGAAGACAAAATTATCCTTTTCTTTCCTTCTTTAACCATTTTACCTCCTCATCTTTTTACTTCTTCACCGACTCTCCTCTCCGGCGTAAACGGAAACGTTTGTGGCGGCTTTGGTTTAATGACTCACTTCAATCATTCCACCATCGCGTCCATGGAAATTTCGTTTCACTCCTTCCCCTTCTTAGCTTCTACGGTGATTGTATAGTGGCCATGGCATCTATGGAATTGGTCCCGAAAAGAGAAAAGAGATGAGGTGTGGTATGCAGTTCTCTGAGTAAGTTTTTCTTTTTTCTTCTTCCCTTTCTGGGCGATTCATGGTTCAAATTTTGAGAAATTTGTCTTAATATTTGAGGAAATTTAGTATTTTGAAATATATATATTTTCTTCTTATTTCATACATATTGATCACATATACAAGCTCATGTATCCATGTGAATTAGATTATGTTCATTACCATCCACTATAAATCCATCCATTGTACTGTGTTTATCTGATCTATAAACTATTGCTTTGATTTTTGTATATTTTGTTAAGTGTATATCCATCCATTTGATATCCAAACCCACACATCTATGTGGATATTCATCAACCGCTTGAGATTGTTAGTTTATTGCAGGTTCAACATCAAGCAATAGAGGGTTCCATGAGACTGTATCCATATGATTATGTCCATACTTTGATGTCCATATGTATCCAATATAGCAAGCGCATTGTACATGCAAGTTTCTGATCGAGTTTTAGTAGCCAGAAGGACCTACATTACACCAATCTGACCAAGTCTTAATAGCCCTTCTATGCTTTTGCTAAACTCGAAATCCTTACATTTGCAGGGTGGAGCATAGGAAAGTATAGCTAGTGCATTGTCCATCGATCATAGGTGGATAGCAAGAGGTTGATGAACAGATGGACAACAAACCGTCGATAGAATCATAGATTCAAACCATGAACACATAGACATATATTACAGTGTATAGTTCATTTGGATGTATCCATCTGGATTTCATAGCTCTTTATGTGATTGTAATAAACTCAAAACCCTATATAGCTTGAATTATTTGTATTACCTTTCAATGCTTTCCTATTTACTCAAAATCTGATAGTTTGTCACATTTATCACATGGACATCAAACTTGTAATTTTTCTTCTTCTTTTGGTTATTTTTAAGGCTTGTGATGTATATAGCAAAGATCTTTTAACCCTCTATTCAATACAGAAACAGTCTAAGATCATAAAAGAAGACTTTGAATGGCAACAACAGCAAGAAACAAAATGTCAGAGATCAAATGTTCTTAACCTGCATTTGACATACAATTTTACTTTCTTCATCCACAATATATTGTCCATATGTTCCTATCCACACACGTATTTAGTTCATCCATAATATATCGTGTATATGTTCATATCCATGCAAATTTATCTATTTAGCTTACAACTAGCAAATTCCATGGTTGCAGGTTTTGTATCCACCATAAGGTGTCCATATGGAGGTGTCCACACGCAAAATATTCTTAATGGAAGAAAGCGTATCTTCATAGCTGGTCCTCTCTTATAGTCTGCACTCATGGTTTGGTTCATAGTTTTATCCATATATCAAACATCAAAATAATAAGTTGATTTTCATAAACATGAAACGGAAACATCGCAAGAATGTGTTAAACCAAGTTCAAATAAAACCCTCATTGTAATTTCCAACACGATGAAACGTGATGACTATAAATCTTTTTGTTCATGAATTGGGTCATGAAGAACATTGATTAAAACCATTACTCCTTACGAAGTCCTCCAGCCAACACTTGATTTCTCGTATCTCAATTGCAGGGAAAAACATATTAAGCAACGATTTTCGGCAACCTCCGTACATGGGAAACCAACCAAGATTTCAGACTCTAGTTTGGCTCTCTTAATCAAGGTTTTGTATGGGTTAACTTTTAAATTTCCATCCTAATGTTCAATTTTTCTTTTAGTTCATGATCTTTGACAAATACTAAATGAAAACTCATCTAACGTTTACTAATGTTCTCAGAAATCATGAACGAAAACATAATTGTGTATCCACACATATGTATCCACGCGGATAGGTCCATATATGTGTACAAGTATCAAGTATGTCCAAATATCTTTGCTTTCTTTTAATGTTTTCTTATCTACATGCTCTAGTCCACGTCAGATTCGAGAGTTTACCCTATTTCAATATATATCTAACATTGGTTTTGTATTCATGTGTCCACTGTAGTCTGTCCATAGGAGGTTGTCCATACAGATGTGTCCATCTTGTTAAAATGAATTGTAGTTACTTGTGTTAAAATGTTATCTCATGTCTTACGATAGGATGCATCCTTTTTCAAAGATTCTTTTAGATGTTAAGATCGTTGGAAGACTCCAAAAAGTTTGCTAGGAGGAAGATATGCTAAGCATTGTCATGTACAACTACTAAAAGGACTTCTCAATTTATATCACCATTATTTATAAATGTTTTCAATTTCTGCAAACATGAAGAACTTTTTTACCACAATAGGTTTGGTAACTATTGTTAGAGACTGTTTTTCTTTTCCTGCTGCAGAAGATAACTATTGCTAGAGTCTGTTTTTCTTTTCTCACCAAAAAAAGAAACTGTTTCTCTTTTGTATCAGAAGATTGTTATTTTCGTTTATTATGCGAGTTTAGTATATAAATCTGTCATTCATATCCTTGGAAAACTGATTTCTCTTGGTAGTTATTGTTTTATGTTTTTGTAATAAGTTCAAGCCAGAAATAAATGAGAGGTTAGCTAGGCATTGAGAAGCCCAATATCAAGAGAAGCCTTGATACAAGGAGTTTTAAGAGCAGATGATTAAGTGTAGCTTCCTGATTGCAAAACCCTGTCTTGAACCCTAATTCTCGCATTAGCTTGTTAAAGTCGCTGCCTTTATTGCTTTTTACTTCAACTCGACCCTAAACTCGATCGAGCTCGGTACTGTTCCCACTCGACTCGAGTCTTGGTCGAGCTGTTGCTTACTGCTTTATTTACTTTTATTGCATTGCATTTCTGTTTCATTAGGTTGTTAGTGTTACCATCTATATTTACTGCTTGCTTGACTTCCTGGTTGTTTCATATTCTCATAGAGTGACAACTTCCCATTTTGGATTGATAACCCTTATGCTATAATGACTATGATGGTTAAGGGAATTGTTGATTGTGTTTGTGTTTGCATCTTACCACCTCATCTTATATACCACTGTTGCATTCCACCACATTTCATATCATATTTTCACACCACACACAAATCCTATCATCAATTTGGCGCCGTTGCCGATTTGGGTTATTTTTGTTGCATTTGAGTTTCAAACACACTTGGACGATCAAGCTATACCACCCCTGTTCTATTGTACTGCTGGGTTTTTGTCTCTTTTTGCAGGTGTATGCGAACTCGATCGAGTCGGTCTACAGAAGACTTGGTCGAGCTAGACACAACGGGTAGAAAGAGGTTCAGAGGTCACAGAGGGTACAAGAGGAACCTGAGGTGCTTGTTGCTGATACAATGGAGTACCAGAGGGGAATGGAAACCCTTTGGGCAATGGACTCGGTCGAGCTAGGCAAACTCGACCGATTGGTCAAGGAGATGCTCCAAACCGCCACCAACAGAGACAAGGGATTGTTCCACCACCAGTGCAGAACCACAACTTTGAGATCAAGCTGGGAATGATCAACCTTGTCAGAACAAGATGTTCCATGGATTGCCAAGTGAAGACCCCATTGACCACCTTGATGAGTTTGATAGGCTTTGTGATTTGACAAAGATCAATGGTGTCTCTGAAGATGCCATCAAGCTGAGACTCTTTCCTATGTCTCTAGCTGACAAAGCTCACCAATGGGAGAAGAGCTTGCCCCATGGCACAATCACCACTTGGGATGAATGCAAGAAGGCCTTTCTTGCTAAGTTTTTCTCCACCGGTCGCACAGCCAAGCTTAGAGAGAGATATCCAGCTTCATCCAGCGAAACAATGAGACATTCGCAGAGGCTTGGGAGAGGTTCAAAGGCTACACAAGTCAGTGCCCACACCATGGATTCAACAATGCTCTCCACTCTTTATAGAGGATGCTTGCCTAGGTATAGGGAGATGCTAGACACAGCTAGCAATGGGAACTTCCTCAACCAGGATGTAGATGATGGCTGGCAACTTGTGGAGAACATAGCTAACTCAAATGGAAGCTATGGAGAAGAGTATGATCGCACCAACCGGAGCTCGACCCACCACTCGATCGAGTCAGACGAAAAGTTGAGAAAAGATGTTAAGGCATTGAATGAGAAGTTGGATAAGCTGATCCTAGCTCAGTCCACAATGAAGAAAGTCAACTTTGTGTCTGCTGAGGAGATGGAACCAGTCCAAGAAGGGGAGGATACACAATTTGCTGAGGTGTGCTACATGAGCAATGGGCAAGGAGGTTACAACAAAGGATACTATAATTACAAGTCCAACCCTGCCATGTCATACCGCAACACTGATGTTGCTAACCCTCAGGACCAAGTCTATCCTCAACAACAAGCAGCTCGATCGAGTCAAGCCACAACATGGGTATGGTCAAAAGAACAATTACCAAGGACCACAAGGCACTTTCCCTGGACAACAAATGAATATCCCACCAGGCTTCCCCACCAACCGCCCCAGCCTGCACCTTCACAGAGAATGAGCTCAAGGCAATGCTAAAGCAACTACTTCAAGGGCAAGCTGATGGGGTAGTGGACACAAGCAAGAAGCTAGCTGAAATCAACTCCAAGTTTACTCTCTGGAGAATCATGCTACAAAGCAAGGACAAAGGTAAAGCTATTCAGAACCCCAAGGAACAGTGCAAGGTCATCTTCACTCAAGAAGGACTTGTTGAAGAAGAGGATCAAGAAAGGGTCATTGAAGATTTTTGTTTACTGCTGAATGATGAAGAGATTGTTGCTGCTGAGGCTCCTGGAGTCCAGATTGATCAACCAGAAGTGCATGCACCTACTGTGGCCATTCACACTTCACCAGTTGAGCTCGCACAACAAGCTCGATCGGCAGCTCGATCGAGTCAACTCTAGCTCGATCGAGTCCGACCTCATCTGTCCCAAAGCCGTTTTGCTTGATCCTTACCAACCGGTTGCTTCCTCGTCTCGCCTACTTAGTCAAGGTCACAAGGAAGTGATTCACAAGTTCAGAAGAGATCTCAGTGGGATTGGAATTGAGTTGCCTCTATGGATAGCATGAGTGAGGCATTTGATCAAATGCAAATGGTCAAGGATGTTCTGGCCAACAGTGATAAAGTTTCAGAGGTCCTGAAGAGTCTACTCATCAGTTCAACCTGCTTACTTCACCCACTTTCCTACCAAAGGTCAAGGATCAAGGGAAATTCACTCTCCCTTGCACACTTGGGCATCTTGAGCTTGACAATGCCTTGTGGATTCTGGAGCAAGCATCAATCTGATCTCTCTCTCCATGGCAGAGAAGCTAGGCATTGCTGGAGCCTTGCAGCGCCCTACTACTTCAATCATGTTTGGAGATGCAACTTCTAAGTCTCCTCTTGGAGTGTTCAAGAACTATCACTTGAAAATTGGAGAATGCATCATCCAAACTGATCTCACTGTGATGGAAATGGAAGAAGAGAAGGATTACCTTGTTATTGGGAACCCCTTTCCTTAGTACAGTTGGCGCTTCAATAGACTTTCACAAGCAAGAAGTGATCCTTCACAAGGTGAATAGTTTGGTGTCATATCGCTTGCAGCCTAGAGGTTCAGACTTTTGTGCCACAATTGACAGTACCACTCTCAGTTCTAAGAGTCATGGAGCTACAAAGGTTGTGAAGGAAAGGGTTGACAAAGAACCAAGAGTTGGGAAGGATAAGGATGAGAGAGGACCAAGGATTGCCACGTCTTGAGAGGGCTAGAGTTGAGAAACCACGTCTGATAGGCCACGAGCTGATAGACTTGTTCAAGCCCCTTGTGTGCTTGATGAAGAGAGCCTTCAAGCTTTGTTTGATGAGCCACTAGGAAGGGCTCTAAAAGAAGGGGAGGATGTAGCCTCTAAGGCAAGACCAGGTGATAAAAGAAAGGATCCACCAGCTCAGGCCCCTTCAGTCAAGCCATCTCAGCTCACAATGACCTTGTTCCCCACCAAGTTTGAAAATGGGAAGATTGAGTACAAGATAAGGTACAAGGGGAGATCAAGGCCATTCTCTAGAGCCAAGGCCTTGGTGACTTCAGAACAGTCCAGGGACCCAACCAAGCTAAAGGAGCTTCTGTCTCAAGTCCTCACTATCACCCTTGATGGTGGGACTAGCTCAACCAATGCCTAAGAAGGTAAAGGTCAAGCTATGGGACCTTAAACAAGCTCACTTGGGAGGAAGTCCCATGTTTATCCTTGTACATATTCTTATTTATGCAATTTCTATCTATTTTATGTCTTTAACCTTTCAATAAGTTAAGTTTAGGTGACAAAGGAGCCAGCTCGACCGACAGCTCGATCGAGCTAGAAACCAGGGCAACTCGATCGAGTTCCACAACTCGACCAAGGTAAGTTTTTGAATTTCAAATTTCAACCGTTTTCTTGGTCAAGGGAGTGGGTCCCACAAGTTGATTTTGGTCCCCCACTCCTAATCGATCAGAAAACCCTAGCTTTTGTCCCCTCTTTATTCACCTTTTAATCTCAACCACACATCTCAAACACTCCCTCTTCCCCATAACTCGATCGAACCCCTTCTCTCTCTCCCACACTAAATTTTCTGAAATCATCCATCTCTCTCATCACCACAAGAAAATCGAATTTCCCTCTTTCTCTCTTAAGTTTTTGCGATTTCTCTTGTTTTCTCTCTTTGCTTTAGTTCTAGCTTGTGATTCTTCCATCATCCAAGCAAGGTATGAACCCTAAACCCTTGAATCCTTCATCTCGATTCCTTCCATTGCTTGTTTCTCTTTGATTTTTGATTGCATGTGTCCCTTGTGGACTTGTTCTTGAGTAATTGCTTTCATTTTGCCTCCTTATATAATCTTGTGAATTTGCCTCACCTCACCTCTGTTTTGCCATTAAACTTGTTGCATGTGCTTAAAATTGAATTTGAGTTTGGTATTGGTTAAGATGCTTTGGTTTTCACTAGAATTGCTTATTGTTCCATTTACTTGATGTTCTTGGTTCAATTTGATTGATTAGCATCCTTTCCAGCTCTTATTGTTTGATTAGGTTCGGTTATACTCTGTTTTCACAACTCGATCGAGTTTGTCACTCGAGTTTTTTGACTCGATCGAGCTGAGTGTCGAGTTGACCGAACCAATGATTACAACTCTAATTCCTTGAGTTTTTGATGCATTTCAGGAACCCAACTTTCAAGAAGCAACAGTTTAAGATGTTGAGAGGTGAAGGAAGCAAGCAGCGTTCACAAAGGAGGAGATAGTGAGAGGGCAAGGAGGATCTAAAGACACTAACCAAGGAAGATGAGGAAGAGATTGAGAGGTTGAGGGAAGAGAGGAGAACCAAGAGAGGAATGACCCAATCAGCAGTGAGAGTAAGGGAGAGTTTGAGATTGGGTGAACATTGGAAGGGGAGAATGATGACTTCAAAGAGGAAGGAGAAGAGGTAATCAAGAGTTGAGGAAGTGAGCATGAGAGCAATGAGAATGTGCCCATGGAGGAGGCTGAGTCAGAGGAAGAGGAGGATGAGCTCCCCATGTACCAAGAGCACTACAATGCTCTCTTCTCCATGGACTTTGTGGAGACCAAGTACCCACATGATGACACAATGAGGCTCTTGGGATCTTTGAGGATGTGGAGCTGGTCCTCAAGAACATGCGCTTGGCCAAGTTCTTCTCTACCGCATGGAGTCATACAAGGAGCTCACTTGTGAGTTTTTGGCGTCAATGAGGTTCCACAAGTATGAGCTCGATCGAGCTGAGTTGGACCAAGGTTGGGGATGGATCACGTTCTTGGCAAGGGAGAAAGGAAGGTGACCTTCAGGCAGTTGGAGATCCTTTGGTTTCACTTATGGGAGGGAACCCATTGGGATATCAAGGAGAATGAGCTCCAAAGAGTTGGGCTACAATCGCTGAGGAGGTACTCTTCCTCAAGGTCAAGGGCTCAGATCAGGAGCCCAGTGCTGAGATATGTCCACAAGGCTCTTGCCAACACCTTCTTTGCAAGGAAAGCACTGGGACAATCAATGAGGAGAAGTGAAGCTCCTTGACATGGGAATCAAGCCCATCATCTCACGCACAAGGATGGGAAGAAGATCAGAGGAGATAGAATCCACGCAGGGAATCTCATGCCTCTCCTTGACCAGCTACTCTCCTACAAGACAACGCCTATAGCACTGGTTTCAAACGGGAAGGAAGCTTAGTGTTGGAGGGTCATCACACCAATCCTTCTGTGCAGCTGGAGTCCATTTGGACAAGAGAAGGTCTACTCCAGCAGGATGGATGGACATTAAGTTTTGCAAGACCAACCTCCTCATTGAACACAAGGAGTTGGATGGGAGGTTCCAATTCAAGTTCACACATCCATTGGCTGGCCCTTCCAAGCTTCTTCTGCCCAACCCTGAGCTCACCACGGTGTAGGAGGTACAACATTGACTTCAGCCCCCACTACACATTAGTTGGGCATGAAGAGGATTTGCGAGAAGAGGAGCCTGAAGCTCGATCGAGTTGAGGACGACGCCAGTGAATGGATTTGGGTGAGCCTGAGTGCTATTACTTTGAGGAGTATGAGGCTCCAAGGATGAACCCCTCTGTTGTGGCTGCCCACAAGAGGATTGGACTTCTCCAAAGGTTCAACAAGTGGCAAGGGAAAGCCATGGAAAAGATGCAAAAGTCCATGGACAAGATGGTGAGCAAGATCAAAGTTTGGAGAAGAAGGTTCTGGTTCTTCAAGCAAGAAGAAGAAGCACCCATGGCCCTACTTTCCCTAGGAGTAGATCACTCCTCACCACCCAAGGAGGCTCCCTGCCCAAGAGCCTCACAGAGCCTCTTCTTTCGAGCCAAGGGAAGGAGAAGACAACACGCAGAGAAGGAGGAAGAGTTCCAAGGCCAGACGCTCCAACTCGATCGAGTCAGAGGAAACTCAACTCGATCGAGCTGAGGGTCGAGTTGACCTGGAGGAGCCCCTGTTTGAGAACCCGGATTCGAGTACGATCCACGCCTACCAGGACTTCCTCAGAGACTGGACCCCTACAACCGCTTCGAGCAAGCACAGCTCCACCAAGGCCAAGGAGCCACACCACTTTGAGATGAAGAAGAGGAAGAAGAGGAGAGCAAGCTCGATCGAGTGCACAACCCAGTGAGTGGAGTGCTCCTGATGGCCGTCTCCCATCTCCAGACCACGACCTGCCTCCCAGTTCTTTGGGGGGCACTGAGGTATCCAAACACCAACCCTTGTATATACCATTTCATATTTTCTTGCATTTGTTTTTTTTTTCTTGGTTTTGCCCTCTTGAATCTTTCACTAAATTTTCTCACACAAGGGACTGTGTGATTTAAGTTTGGGGGAGGGTTCAAGAGATGATTTAACCTTGTTTTCTTTGTTCTTAGTTTTTCATTCATCTTTTGCATAGAAAAACCAAAAAAATCATAAAATTTTCAAAAAATCCAAAAATATTTTCATCTTTTTGCATTCATATTTGTTAGACTTGTTTAGGATTGCATTTTTCACTTGCATTGTTGATTTGACTTTGAAAACTTGTCCATCTTTTGCGATTTCTTGAGTGCCCTGTTTTTAGATTCTTTTGTGCATTAGGGTGAGATTGATTGAGCAGCAAGAACCATGTTTATCTTGATCATATCACTGCATGCACATCTCATTCAACCATTGCTGTGATTTGATGCATTTCCCTATATGAACCATAACTTGATCTTTAATTACCAATGCTTGCATTTGATTTCAACTCATGGCTACCACATACATATCTGGACATTCTTTACCATTTTCATATCCCTTTGCTTGTCCAGATAGCTGATCTCTATCTTTGAGACAGTTACCACACCTTAAACCTAAGCCTTTTCATTTCAAACCCCATATTATCTCTTGTGCGAATGTGAGAACCTTTCTTGGCTTTGCTTAGCATAAGGTGTTGTGTTTAAACCGGCAGGGGCAGTAGTTCTAGTTGTCTAGTTCTCTTGGGATTGTTTTCAGGCTAAGTTTGGGGGTGCCAACTCGAGCTCGATCGAGTTGGGTGTAAAAACCAGAAAAGTGGTAAAAGTTGGGAAAATCCAAAGGAAAAAGAGTTTAGTTAAGTCCAGGGAGTTGGCAGTGTTAAAAAGGGTCTAGTAAAGGTTTGGGAAGTTAAAAAAGGAAGTAAAAAGGGTTCTAAGTAGAATGAAAAGAAGGCAAAGCCTCAAGTGTCAAAAAGAAAGAAAAGTTCCCTAAGTGTTTAGAAAATCCCAAACCGCTAGATGTTACCTCAAGAAGCCTCTCCCTAGGAAGTTCTTAAAAGAAAAGTGAGCAAAGCTCCTCAGTTTCAAAGGCGAAATGCCAAAAAGGGTAGTTAGGATTTTGTTCTAAAAAGCTCTAAGTGTTGAACTCGATCGAGTTAGGATTAGCGGCTCGAGCTGCTGTTCTTGCATCATCTTTGGTTCTAACACTTAGCCTTCTGCCAAAGCAAAGCCACTTTCTTGAGAGATCCCTGTTACTAAACCACCATACAAAAGAGACCCTCTTTGTCTCTTAACCCATAAACCCTTGAAACCAAATGAGTTGATTGATCTTGCATGTTTTTGGTTCACTGTTTTTGCTTAATGAATGTTAAAGGGATTTGCTGATTTGAATGCATTGTTTGAGTGACTGTGAAGTGGGATTGATGTTGATAAGCATGGTTAAATCTTAATGAATATCTCTCACCTTGTTGCATTCTAGAATCTCTAAGTTGGACATTTAGCAAATCGCTTTTGAGGACATGTTTTTAAGTGTTGAATCAAGCTGTTTTCAAACCTCATCTCTTTCTTGTTCTATTTGTTTGCTTGAGGGCAAGCAAAGTTCAAGTTTGGGGGTGTTGATGTACTTGCATTTTACATAGTTTTAGTACATCTTTTATGCATCTTTTGCATAGTTTTAGCATCCATTAGCATCATATCTTGTTCCTTTTCTCTTCTTATGCATTCATGTAGTTTTAGGTTGCATTTGCATACATATGCATGTTTGGTCCTTTGAAATAGGTCTTTTGGAGCATATGGGACGTGAGGAGCATGGAGGGACTTGGCATGGACGCAGCTCAACTGGATACGCAAAGGAAGAAGGAGGAAGCCATCTTGAAGACCAGCTCGACCACCTACTCGACCAACCGGTCGAGTTCCTTCAACTCGATCGAGCTGAGAAGTCAAAGTCAAACCCGAAAAATGTTGCTTCCCCCTTGACTTCCTTTGACCCTAAACCTAAATCCTCTTGTATTTAAAGGCTAAAAGCCACGAAAAAACCACCAAGCTTTAGATTATTTTGTTTTAGCTTTCTTTTAATTTATTGTCTTTTACTTTTAGACCTCTAATCCCATCTTTGTGTTCTTGAAGCTCTTGCTTCTTGAATCCTAGATCCTGGATAATCTCTTTTGTATTTGCACTTGCTTATTTCAATAAAAGTTGTTTATCTTTCATCTCCTCTTTCATTTGATGTTTATGGGATAGATTAGGGGTTTCATATGCTTAATCCTTCTTGCTTATGTCTTAATCTAGATTCTCTCTCTTTTGGATAAATCTTAAGGCTACATGACCACTACCCCTGGCTTGTATGTCATTAGGCGATTCTCCACATGGAAGTGATGGAAATCGCTGGAAAAATCCACTAAGAGCTCCAATAACTCTTGCTCTCGAAATGGAGTTCATAGGGGTTGGATGGATTAGTTTGAGCAATGATCCTATGGCCTCCAAGGCTTGATTCTCACTGGCTAACCCCCTGTTTCTGAGATCATTCCTTGGTTGATAGCTTTCACCTTGGGAAAGGGTTAGCTAGGCATTGAGAAGCCAATATCAAGAGAACCTTGATACAAGGAGTTTTAAGAGCAGATGATTAAGTGTAGCTTCCCTGATTGAAAAACCCTGTCTTGAACCCTAATTCTCGCATTAGCTTGTTAAAGTCGCTGCCTTTATTGCTTTTTACTTCAACTCGACCCTAAACTCGATCGAGCTCGGTACTCTGTTCCACTCGACTCGAGTCCTTGGTCGAGCTGTTGCTTTACTGCTTTATTTACTTTTACTGCATTGCATTTCTGTTTCATTAGGTTGTTAGTGTTACCACCTATCATTTACTGCTTGCTTGACTTCCTGGTTATTTCATATTCTCATAGAGTGACAACTTCACCCATATGGATTGATACCCCTTATGCTATAATGACTATGATGGTTAAGGGGAATTGTTGATTGTGTTTGTGTTTTGCATCTTACCACCTCATCTTATATACCACTGTTGCATTCCACCACATTTCATATCATATCTTTCACACCCACACACAAATCCTATCATCAATTGCACAGCCCAAATGGCATCCTTCGATAAGCAAAGGTACCATAAGGGCATGTGAAAGTGGTCTTCTCCTGATCATTAGGGTGGATCGGGATTTGGAAGAAACCACTGTAACCATCAAGAAAACAAAAAAAGGGTGGTTTGCCAATCTTTCTAACATCTGATCAATGAAAGGGAGAGGGAAATGATCCTTTCTAGATGCTGAATTTAGCTTCCTATAGTCAATACACATGCGATGCCCCACTATTGTTCTAGTGGGAATCAGCTCCTCTTTGTCATTTTTAATGACAGTGATCCCCCCTTTCTTTGGGACGCAATGAACTGGAGATATCCAAGTGCTATCACTGATGGGATAGATTATCCCAGCATCAAGCAACTTGAGTATCTCTTTCTTCACTACTTCCTTTAGATTGGGGTTCAATCTCCTTTGAGGTTCAATGCTTGACTTACTTTCATCCTCTAGATGAATCCTATGGATGCATAGGTCAGGGGAGATCCCTTGATATCATCTAGAGTGTAACCTATTGCTTTTCTGTACTTTCTCAATTCAACAAGCAAAGCACTCAACTGTTCAGGTTCCAAATCAGAGTTCACAATGACAGGGTAAGTTGAGTTTTCACCCAGAAATGCATACCTGAGGCCCTCAGGCAAAGGTTTGAGGTCGACTTTAGGTGCCTTGAGCTCAGACCAATCTCCTTGAGCTTGCTCCTTGCATTCAGTCCCCAGCTCGATCGAGTTCGTTTGTTCGAGGCTCGACTCGATCGAGTTCTTGATCGAGCTCACTGCCATGACTTCGCAAACTGGCCTGTCCAATCCCTCAATGCTCAGAATGTTTGGAACTGGTCTGAAGGTGTCAAGGAGCTTCTTGTACCATCGGTTTCTGAGCTCACATATCCCTCTGAAGAATCCTTGGTCAAAGCAACTTGTAGGGTCTTTGATACTCTTCTAAAAGCTCATCTGCCAACTGATCCATTTCCTCAACATAAAAGAGCTGACCTTCTATTGTTGGCTTTCCTCATTGTATCCTTGATGTCAAACTTCATCTTAGGTCCTTTCCCAAGTTTAGCTCAATTGTTCCTTCACAGACATCTATCATTGCTCTTGCTGTAGCTAGGAATGGCCTTCCTAGAATCAATGGATCTGTTGGTTCCTCATCCATCTCAAGCACAATGAAGTCGGTGGGATCTCTACATTCCCTATCTCAAAGGCAGGTCTTCAAGCATCCCAGTTGGTAACCTTATCGATCTATCTGCCAAGACTAGTGAGATTCCGCAGGCTTGGTACTTGTGATATCCCAGTCTCTTTGCTACAGACAAAGGCATGAGGCTGACAGATGATCCTAGATCGCAGAGGCTGTTTTTGAAAGATAGGGTCCCAACATGCAGGCAAAGTGAAACTCCCCGGATCTTCCTTTTTGTCGGAGATGACCTTCCGCTGAATGATTGCACTGCACTCACGAGTCAACACTACCATCCCTTGTGCTTCCCTGGTTCTTTGCTGAACAGCATCCTTCAGGAATTTCTGATAAGGTGGAATGAGCATCAAGGCGTCGATGAAAGGCAACTTCAGCTCAAGTGTCTCATTAGTTCATCAAACTTGGCCTTGTGTGCTTCCAACAGTTGTTTCTTGAACCTTCCTGGAAAGGGTAGAGGGGGTTTGTATGGTGGTGGTCCTGCTGGAGTGTCTTTCTTCTTTGCAACAGGTTTAGTTGGTTGGCTGGACTTGCTTTGTCTGTTTCTTCTCGGCTCGATCGAGCTCTGGTTTGTCTTGCTGAGTCTCGGTTTCTCAGCTCGATCGAGTTCTGGTTCAGGGTTTTGTTCCAGCTCGATCGAGTTCGGTGCGGATCAGCATACTCGACTAAATCCTCCCCTTCCTCGTCATCGATGTCCACAGCGATTTGGGGTGGGCTACTCTCTAGGGAATTGCGCCCACTTCTAGTGTAACTGCTTGGGCATACTCTTGTGGTGAAGAGGATGATGCACTTGAAGACTCAATGATTTGGACTCTTGAAGTCAATGACTCAAGTTTGGAGTTTATCTCAACCAACTTGTGGTTCATTTCCAGTGAACCTTTGGCTTGCCCTTGTAAGAGTTGTTGGAGCATTTCCTTCATATCCCAATCTTGACTTGGTTGGGTATGATAGTCCTTGGGTGAAGCCTTGTGGACACTGTGTTGTTGTGGCAAGGTGGGATAGCTGGAGTATGTCCCTTGTTGCCATAGCAACTTATATCCTTGCTGAGGATTCCTATAGCCTCCTTGTCTATTTTGAATATAGCAAACCTCATGTTGGTCTCCTCCCCTTCCTGGTCTTTAACTAGAGTTTTTCCTGAGACATAATTGACATGCTTGGCAGGGAATTGGGCTAGGATCAGTTTGTCCAACTTCGATTGAGTGCAAGCATGTCTTTTCTCATCTGTGCTTCCAGCTCGATCGAGTGCGCGGTCGAGCTCCAGTCTGTATCATATGCTCTCCATAGCATTCAGTTGAGATGGCCATGTTCTCCACAAGCTGCCAGCCATCATCCACATCCTGGTTGAGGAAGTTCCCATTGCTAGCTGTGTCTAGCATCTCCCTATACCTGCAAGCATCCTCTATAAAGAGTGGAGAGTAGTGATTCATTGTTGAATCCATGGTGTGGGCACTGACTTGTGTAGCCTTTGAACCTCTCCCAAGCCTCTGCGAATGTCTCATTGTTTCGCTGGATGAAGCTGGATATCTCTCCTCTAAGCTTGGCTGTGCGACCGGTGGAGAAAAACTTAGCAAGAAAGGCCTTCTTGCATTCATCCCAAGTGGTGATTGTGCCATGGGGCAAGCTCTTCTCCCATTGGTGAGCTTTGTCAGCTAGAGACATAGGAAAGAGTCTCAGCTTGATGGCATCTTCAGAGACACCATTGATCTTTGTCAAATCACAAAGCCTATCAAACTCATCAAGGTGGTCAATGGGGTCTTCACTTGGCAATCCATGGAACATCTTGTTCTGACAAGGTTGATCATTCCCAGCTTGATCTCAAAGTTGTGGTTCTGCACTGGTGGTGGAACAATCCCTTGTCTCTGTTGGTGGCGGTTTGGAGCATCTCCTTGACCAATCGGTCGAGTTTGCCTAGCTCGACCGAGTCCATTGCCCAAAGGGTTTCCATTCCCCTCTGACTATCTCTTTCTACCCGTGTGAAGTCTAGCTCGACCAAGTCTTCTGTTGACCGACTCGATCGAGTTCGCATACACCTGCAAAAAGAGACAAAAACCCAGCAGTACAAAGAACAGGGGTGGTATAGCTTGATCGTCCAAGTGTTTGAAACTCAAATGCAACAATATTCAACCCAAATCGGCAACGGCGCCAAATTGATGATAGGATTTGTGTGTGGATGTGATGAATGTATGAAATAAATGAGGTGGAATGCAACAGTGGTATATGAAGATGAGTGGTAGATGCAAACACAAACACAGTCAATCAATTCCCTTAACCATCATAGTCATTGAAGTATAAGGGTTATCAATCCAAAATGGGAAATTTTACTCTATGAGAATATGCAAAACAAGGAAGTCAAGCAAGCAGTAAATAGATGTAGTAACACTAACAACCTAATGAAATGAAATGCAAAACAGAAAGTAAAGAAAGCAGTAAAGCAAGTAGCTCGACCAAGGACTCGAGTCGAGTGGGAACAGAGTAACCAGCTCGATCGAGTTAGGGTCGAGTTAAGTAAAAAGCTAAAGGCAGGACTTTAACAAGCTAATGCGAGAATTAGGGTCTAAGACAGGGTTTACAATCAAAGGAAGCTATACTTAATCAATCTTGCTCTTAAAACTCCTTGTATCAAGGTATCTCTTGATATTGAGCTTCTCAATGCCTAGACCCTTTCCCAAGGTGAAAGAATGATCTCAGAAACAGGGGGTTAGCCAGTGAGAATCAAGCTTGGAGGCCATGGTGTTGGACCCAGATTTAGCACCTAAATCTCTCCCTGCTTGAGGTCCATTAAACGATTCTATAAAGTATATTACTTAAGCTTACCTGTTTAAAGGCCTACTCTAGTCTTCATCGAGTTGGCGAGATCTCCAGTTACGAGCTATCGAGATATCGAGCTACCGTACGTAAGAGCTATCATTCAGGACTTAGTCAAGGTCGTTCGGCGTAATCCCGAGAAATCCGGAGTTAGTTGCTCGGTGGAGATCCCACTAAATCCGGAGCACGTGCAGCAGGAGATCCCGAAGATCATGGAAGCAGGCGAGATACGAGCACTCGCAGGAGAACTATAAAAGGGGCACAAGTCCAAGCAGAAAGGGGATCTTCTCTTCATCATCATTCACCATATTTTTACTCATTTTCACATAATTTAGACCTAATTCTTATCTTGTAAGCTCTTCGAGCTCCCGTATTCCCAGAAACACCTTGTAACGTTGAATCTTATTTGATCAATATAAAGTTCATATTTGCTTATTCTTTTGCCTAAGTTCTTGAGTGCTTGTGAGAATCTTACCTACTTCTTCCTCATCCCTAAACTACTATCAAATTTCTAAGTGTGAGTTTTACGTCCCACACATGGGATCATTGCTCAAACTAATCCATCCAACCCTATGAACTCCATTTCGAGAGCAAGGTTTATTGGAGCTCTTAGTGGACCTTTTCCAACGATTTCCATCACTTCCATGTGGAGAATCGCCTATGGACATACAAGCCAGGGGTAGTGGTCATGTAGCCTTAAGGTTTGTCCAAAAGAGAGAGATTTCTAGATTAAGAACATAAGCAAGAAGGATTAAGCATAAAGATCCCCTAATCTAGCCCATCTTTGACCCTAAAGGAAACTACTCACTACACATGAATGTAAACACAATCAAATGCAATGAAAGACATAATATGAAAGAGGGAAAAAATGAAAACTTTTATTGAAATAAGCAAGTGCAAATACAAAGATAAGCCAAGATCTAAGGTTCAAGAGCAAGAGCTCAAGAACACAAAGAGAGGCTAGGGTTGCAAAAAGTAAAATACAATTAAAAAAGCTAAAACTAAAAAAAATCTAAAGATTGTTTTTTTTCGTGGCTTAGAGCCTTTAAATACAAAGGATTAGGTTTAGGGTCAAAGGGAAGTCAAGGGGGAAGCAACATTTTTCGGGTTTGACTGTTGACTTCTCAGCTCGATCGAGTTGAAGCTTGGCCGGTCGAGTTGAGGAACTCGACCGGTGGTCGAGTAGGTGGTCGAGCTGGTCTTCAAGATGGCTTCCTCCTTCTTCCTTTGCGTATCCAGTTGAGCTGCGTCCATGCACCAAGTCCTTCCTTGCTCCTCACGTCCCATATGCTCCAAAATGCTCCAAAAGACCTATTTCAAAGGACCAAACATGCATATGTATGCAAATGCAACCTAAAACTACTATGAATGCACAAGAAGGGAAAAGGAACAAGATATGATGCTAATGGATGCTAAAACTATGCAAAAGATGCATAAAAGATGTACTAAAACTATGTAAAATGCAAGTACATCAATAGGACAAGACATAAATTTCACCTACCTCTAAATATAATAATTATATTCAGGGGCCTAACGGAAACAACAAAAAAAAAACATGATGAGAGATGACAAGACATAAAGGTTGAACGGGACAGAATGAAAAGAAATAGAATGTGGTGTGATTGGACGAGACGAGATGAAAATGTACATAATGGGATAGAAAGGGACGGGACATGAATTTTGCCTAACTTTAATTATATTTAGAGACGAGACAGAGACAAGATAAAATGGAAAATAACATAATAGGATAGGATACGATTGGATGGGGCGGACAGAACGGGAAAGAACCGGACAAGATTAAAATGAATAAAATTGAACAGAATTATACCTAACCCTAATTATATTTAAGGAACAAGACGAGAAGAAAGGAAATGGGACATAACAAAAGGGATAGGATGAGACTGGACGGGACATGACATAGAGGACGGACGAGACGGAAAAGAACGTACATGATGAAAATGAACAAAATGGGACGAGATGGAACAAGACGGTACAATTTTTTTGCCTTAACTTTAATTATATTTAAGTAATATGTGTATAATATCGGGGTTGTTTCACTTTTGGACCCAAAATTGTGGTCAAATGCAAAAGTAACCTCCTGCTTTTTTCGTTTTAAATTTGTCCAGGTTTTTCTAATTAATTACAGGATTGCCATTACTTTTTCGATTGGTAGACCGATTTTTAGGTCTACCATATCTGCTGAAAGACCAAAGACCCCTCATCTCCTACACAAAATTTCGAAAATGTCATATCATCAATGTTGCCAACCACCATTTTCACCCAATGTGGAGCTGTTAATGCTCTCATAGCTCATTTTGGAGCTAGCATTGCTCCTTCTTTCATCTCACAAACTCTTATTCTTCCAATTTCTCTCCATTTTCATCCCAAAAACTTATAAAAAACTCAAATCTTGGGTCTTGGCATTTCTGATTGTTTAGCTTACGGTGATGACTGGAACTCTTTACTGAAGACCTAAATTGAAGTTATCAGCCCTCAAAGAGCATTTCTCCGACAGCCAGGTAACTTTTCTTTCAAAATTCTAAGAATTTCAGTTTTGGTCCGCGAAGGTAGACTGAAGTGTAGGTCTACCGTTACATAGTAGACATCAGTTTAGGTCTACTAGTCAACACAGAGTTGACCGCGCCATTTCCGTTACAAACAAAAAAAACTGGTGGTAGACCTCCATTTAGGTCTACTCCACGTGGATGTTAGTTTTGCAATTGATCGAGAAAAATGTTTGTTTTGGAAGTCTACCGTGGAGGTCTACTCCACGTGGAGGGTTAGTTTTGCAATTGATAGAGGAAAATATTTTTTGGAGGTCTACCTCTTAAGTCAACAGAAAAACAAACTGTTTTGCAATTGTCGGCAAGTAGACCTAAAGCGTAGACTAATTCAGAGGTATACTTTTTTTGGTAGACCGATTTAGAGGTCTACGTTTTCTGGTAGACGTATACGGTAAACCTCGTGAAAAAGTCAATGTTTGGTCAATTGCAAAACTAACCCTCCACGTGTAGTAGACCGACAAGGTAGACCTCCAAAAAAACAATTTTCTCGATCAATTGAAAAACTAACCCTCCATGTGGTCGTCCACGTGGAGTGGACCTAAGTGGAGGTCTACCGTGTACGTCTACTCCGGACGTCTACGTTTTAGGTCTATTATTATGGGTTTTTTTAATGTCGTTTTCCTTTCAATATATCAAATATTTTGAAATTTTTGTCGTACATTTAGTTGTTTTTATTTGTTTACTTGCTTTTGTTTGAGTTTGAAATGTTCTTTCGGCGTAATTAAAGCTCTATTCGGTTTTCTTTTCAATTAGGTATCTAGTTTAATTTTCTGGTCGACCAAATTTTGGGTCTACCCTGTCGGTCTACTCATTCTGTCTACTAATCCATTTTGTGGTCTGGCTGTCTACTAATCTGTTATGTGGTCTGGTTTGTTTTTGTTACAAGTAATGGTTTATCTGGTTTGTTTTGGTTGCAGGTAATGGTTTGTCTACTTTCCCTTTGTAAAAAATGGCTGGTGATGGAAGACAAGTCATGGCATTTGTGACATGTATCATAAAAATGGACCTAATTTTGTCTATCATGTAAGAACACTATCATGTGTTCTAGTTAGGTTTTGTAATATTTGTGACAGTCATTAATGACAAGTGTAAATGCCAAAAGTGATCATGAAAATAATAATGGGATTTTTTTTATTGGAGAAACAATGAAGTCTTACAATCAAAACTGAAAAGAAGAGCTCAAATCTGACAAGCAACAAAGTGTGTTTAAAACTAAAACTTAAAACAACTCAAATCGATAAGCAACTTGGAATTCCCTTCATTAAGCTTCATGCTACAAGCTTTCTTTGCTTCTTCCTCACCATGTTTTCCTGAAACACATAATGAGTAAACCATGCCATCGTATTCTACAGAATGTAGATTAGAGACGAGCAATAACTCAACTTTGGAAGTAATAAAAGGTGACTCAAACCTGAGCAAGGTCACCGACAGCGCCGTCCCCGTTCTCTTTCCTTAATCTCATTATCTATATTCTTTTTTTCATGTTTCTTTCCTATATCTCATTTATGATATTTTTTAAATAAAATATTTATTATAAAAATCATACAGCACTAAAATCTACAGCCATAGCAAAAAATTCTACAACCTAAATTTTACAACAAAAAATCCAAAGCTACAGACACAACCAATCAGGCGCATAATACAAAACAATGATACTAGATTTGACACATTCATGAATGACAGAGAACGTACCTCTGACCATGGCGGAAATTCTCTTATCATTCTTTCTCCTCCATTGATGTCCATCTTTAGCTTAAGATGCAGGAGCTGATTTCCTCTGTAGCTTTCCTGCAAAATTTCACAAAATCCGAATTTTCTAATTTCATTCAACTTTATTCTTCCTTTCAACTGCGAAAAATACACAACGAGCTGATAAGAAGAGAAATAGTTGAGTTTGGAAAAGAAGAGGAGAGACTTACGGCAGCAAAACTTCAGATCTAGGGGATTTTAGAGTAGATATGAGAAAACAGAATCTCGATCTATCACAGAAAAGCTTCAGATCTGATTTGGTATAAGAGAAGGAGGAAGAAGAAGACGAAGATGGCGAGAGGGAGATAGTGGCCACAATTCACGGTGAGAGAGAGGCGGCGAGAGAGAAAGGGTGAGAACAGAGATATTTTTCATTTTTGTAACAAAATTAGGGTTTTTTTTTATATACGGGGATAAATTTTCCGGTTTAAATAGAAAATTCCGATTCAATTAGATTAATTTGAGGTCTACCAATTCAGTCTACTTAAATTATAAATTTCGGTATTCCCGCTAGGTTAAAACGGTTGGTAGACCTCCATTGCGGTCTACTCTATCAGTCTACATGTTAGGTCTACTTTACCCTAAACCCTAAATCAAATAATTTAGATACAATTTTGCCACAATTTGCTTGCTATATTGTCAATTTACAGTGTATATCACAACTAAACTAACATTGAATCGTAAAACCAATCAAAAACAATTATTCATCTAAATTTTTTCAAAACCCTACAACTTACATCATTAAACCCTAAACAATCTACACAAACTCTTATCTTTATGAACTATATACTCATGATATTTATAGATTCATGAATTTTTCTGATATTTTATTTTTAAAAGATGTTAAATGTCTATTATTTCTTTATTTGTGAAAAAAATATTTCAAATTATTTTTTAAAATTTTCTTAATTTAAATTTAAGATTTGATGATTTTTAGTAGACCTACTTGGTAGACCTTTCAAGGTTTTATAGGCTTTTAATCTAATTTGTTTTTTTGTCATAAATAATTGGTTCAAATTTATGAAATTATATTTTATATAGATGCAAGTTGTCTGTATTTTTTTTTGTAACATCTGATATTTTATTGATAAGTATGAAGAGTTATACAAATGAAGCCATGTAGGAGGCACATGATACAACATAAAAGAACAAGGAAATTGATAAACACATTTTATAAAACATTTATTTATAAAACATTTTCATCAAAATATTTTTTTTTTCAAATTTTAAAATTAAAATTAAAATTTAATGACATAGTATACTTACTCGGTAGACCTCACATGTTTTTATAGATTCTAACCTAAATGTCTTTGCTTATCTATAAATGATTCATTTGTATGCATTCATATTTTTGGTAGATGATAATGTCAATATTATAAATATTCATACATGTTTTTGTATAAAAATATTTTTTATTAAATTGTTAATTAAAATTTAACAAGGTAAACCTCCAATATTGTCTACCAGGTAGACCTCTGAGGTAGATCTACCTGGTCCAGAGGTTAAAATCATAATCGAGGCATGCGTTTTATTTTTTGGTCATGAAGGAATGTGGGGTAATTTTACGACCAATAGAGGTTAGTTTTGCATTTGATTCAATTTGTGGTCTAGTTGGTTAGAAAATATTAAATTATGGTCTAGAATTGGTAATTTCCCCTATAATATCTTTGAAGAAAACGATTCTTTGAAAAATACCCTATTTATGTTTAAAATTTTGAAAAATAACCTAATTTTGTTTCTGTTTTGAAAAATACACTTTATGGAATGTAAAAAGACTGTTTTGACCTAATTAAACAAAACATTAATAAATAATTATAATTACAAATTAAAAACGAAATTCAAAAATAATAGAATTTATAAGATTTTTTTCAGATAAATATAAATTTTAAAAATTAAAAGTGGATAAATCTATATTCCATTTTTAATGTTTTCTTCAAATTTTAATATTTTTAGAACATTATATAAATTTTAATATTTTTAAAACTTTAATCTCATCCCCATTCCAACTAAATGAAATTTTATAAATTTAAAATTTACATTTATTTAAACTGTATAAACTATTAAAATTTTAAAAAGTGGATAACTTTTAAACACATTTAAATATTTTTTAGTTTTTATATAAATAATTTTAATCTTACTCTCATTTAAACTTTATATAAACAACCTTTTTAAAGAATTTTTAATAATATATAAACAGATAATTAGGATTGTTTAGTATTTTAAAATGAAACAAAATCATAATCAAATCTTAATATTTTATATTTCTTATTTGAATTTCGTTTTTAGTAAATTAGTTGAAAAATTCAAATTAGGATAATTAAATAATTTCACATATAAATAAGTGTATTCTTCAAAACTAAAAAAACCAAGGATAGTTCAAATTATAAACTCATCAAAGAGAATATTTTCAAAATTTCTCTTGAAAAAATATTAAATTTGTGGAAAACAATAAAACTTAAACAATCCGAGCTAAGTGCGGATCACCCCCAGTGTAACATAATCTCTTGCAATGTTATGAATAATGTTTAAAATAAGAAATAGATGCGTGATATAAGAAAAATAAGGAACCAATTTTCAAGCTTGGATCAAGGTGGAGAATATTGGTTTGTGATCCAACTTGAAACTGAAGTTTGATTAAGAAAGGGGTAAAGAGAAAGAAAAGCTCTTGGAGGTGGCTGCTACCTGCGCCCCAAACCCCGTTTTCTGCCTCTTCCTCCGGTGAGATTCTCGGCTACGGTGACAGGAGGATCCTAGAGGCGTGGTACGGCTTTGGTCCCACTCTGGTCTGTATCCTCAGGAGTTTCAGGTCCGGTCTCAGGCGATGGCGGCTCTAGGCGGTGGGTCTCGGTTCGGTTTAAGGCGGTGTCCAGCGGCTAGGGTTTTGAGGAGGCGGCGGTGTCATTTTTTCTTCGGAGTTCCTAGGGTTAGCAGTCTCTGGTTTATTTCCGGTTTAGTAAAGCTACTGGTTATTTACAAACCGGGCTCTTTTGGGTTTTTGGCTTTTATGTTTGTTTTGTTGGGCCTTTAGAGTTTAGTTTAGTTTGACTAAGCCAATCAAAGACTCTATCTGGGTTAGAGTCTCTTAAGAAGCTTGTGTTAAGTGCGTGTGACTCACATGTCTATCTTCTTCACACTGTATATTTGGTGAGAAATAGAAGAGCTAATTAATACACTAATTTGTGCGATTCAAAGTAGAGAAAGAGAGGGAGCTAGCCAGAAAGAGGGGTGCTTCTTTGTTTATCTTAGGCTAGTCTCTTGTTCCTCTTCTCTTGTAATAATATCTGCTTCCAAAACATGTAGTTTATACTAGGCCTAGGATTTTAAACCGTACCCGAAAACTGAACCCGTTTCCGATCCGGATCGGATCGGGTTCGGGTTTGCCTAAATAACCGATCGGTTTGGCTGTAGATGTGAGTTCGGGTTCGGGTTCGGTTCGGTTTAACCCGATAACCGAACTAATAACCGCAAACCGACCTTTGGTTTCAATTTGAGGGTTTGGGTTCGGGTTCACTTCATCGTTTCCTTTGCGATTAAGCAGCAAACCGACCTTTTGTTCTTTCTACGAACAATCTTCTTGATGAAATTCTCCGAGAAATCAATCTGATTCAACGAAGAAGAAACAGAGATCTTAAACTTAACAAGGAAGAACAAACAGAGATCTAACTCGTTGATTTAGGCATTCTAAATCAATCTCCTCCATCTCCACCGTCGCAGCCTCATCCACAGACGCCACTAGAGCTGCCAACGACGTAACCAGCATAACCGCCTTCTCTTTCTTCCCCCCACGGTAAGACGAGACCCAATCCTCAGAGACTCAAGCGACCAAGCCTCTCTGCGCTTTCCTCATCCGATCCATCAGAACAGGGACCATCAGCCTCATCGTGCACTCGATCTGATCGATTCTCGTCACGAGAACGTCGGACGGATCCAAATCCAGCGGCTGATTCACCCGATCCAGATTCACAAGCTTATCGGTTACACCCGAAAACAGACCCGAACCCGAAAATCAAAACGCGTATCCAACCCGAACCCGACCAAATACCGAACGGTTTCTAAACTTTCACACCCGAATAACCGAAACCCGATTTAACCAACCCGAACCCGACCGGTTACCCGAATTCCCTAGCCTAGTTTATACTTCCCAACTTAGCACATTTCTGGCTTTTAGTGTAGTTTGAAATGAATGTATGCATCAATATTAAGCGTAAATGGTTGAATTGTCATCTGAATAATCTTAACAACGGAACTTGAAATCTATTCATCATGCATAGATTATATATTAGAAAAAACGATTTTTTCCTATATTAGCTCAAACTTGGCCAAAAATACTATTCAAATTAAGATCCGTCTAACCAAAAGAATCAAACTTGAATCCTTAAAAGCAAAATGCACATCATGATTATATGCAAATTCTATATGTGGCAAACATTTTTCTGAAATTCTAAAGTTTTTTTTTAATCAATGTGCGCAAGAGAGTGCCTAAGGTTCTATTAATTATCAGTTTGACCATCAGTTTGTGGATGACAAGTAGAAGAGAACAGCAATTTAGTACCAAGTTTAGACCACAATGTTTTCCAGAAATAGCTAAGAAACTTGGTGTCTCTATTAGAAACAATAGTCTTAGGCATGCCATGCAAACGAACAACGTCTTTAAAGAACAACTCAGCTACATGAGATGCATCATCACTTTTATGACATGCTATGAAATGCACCATTTTAGAGAGTCTATCAACAACCACAAAGATTGAATCCTTTCCAGTTCTAGTCCTAGCCAATCCAAGCACGAAATCCATTGATATATCAGTCCAGGGACGAGAAGGGATAGGTAAGGGAGTATACAAACCATTCGGCTGAACCTTAGACTTAGCCTGTTTACATGTAGCACATCTACCACATATGCGTTCAACATCTCTCACCACGTGCGGCCAATGGAAGTGATCTCTCATCACCTCAAGAGTTTCGGCCACGCCAAAGTGTCCCACAAGGCTTCCTCCATGTGCTTTCCTGACAAACAAATCTCGAAGAGAGAAATTAGTTACACACGAGCGGTTATCATAAAAGAGAAACCCATCTTGTCTATGATATCGACCAAAAGCAAACTTAGTACAAGATTGATAAATCTCTGCAAAGTCAGAGTCAGTTTCATATAGTTCTTTAATCTGCTCGAAGCCTAAAAGCTTGCAATCAATAGTAGAGAGTAGAGTGTACCTCAGGGATAATGCATCGGCAACTAAATTATCTTTACCTTTCTTGTACGTGATGACATATGGAAATGTCTCAATGAACTCAACCCACCTGGCATGTCTCTTGTTGAGTTTCTGCTGACCCTTAAGGTGCTTAAGGGATTCATGGTCAGTGTATATGACAATCTCCTTCGGCCACAAGTAATGCTGCCATGTTTGTAAGGCCCTAACCAAGGCATAGAGTTCCTTGTCATATGTTGGATAATTCAGGGTGATGATATCACCATATTTTACATGATTTTACTATATATTTACCTATGTTTTCAAACGGTTTTTGCAAGATTCTTTGCCTTTAGAGGTAGTTTTCTTGTATTTGTGGGATTTGAAGTCTTTGTAGGTGAAATAATCAAAAAGGATGCAAAAAGGAGTAAAAGAGCCCTAAATCAAGATCCATGCAAGTTTCCAAGTCAAGAAGATCATTTTATCTCCAAGTGTTAGTTCTCGCTAGCGCGCAGAACGAAGCTTCGGAAGTTTGGCCGCGCGCGGAGGAGTTCCCGACGTCCAAAAGTTACGATCTTGATATGGAAAGATAGATACTTGAGTCATGCATCACGTCGAAGTGGAATGAAGCCATTTGGATCAACTATGAGGCCTAGACTTATTTTCTACCGAGACATGTCCGGTAAGCGAGTAAACGAAGCCCATGGAGGATTTGGAGTGTCTAATGGCCCGAGCAGCAGCGCCAAAGGCCTTGATCGAATAGAGAAGAGGCCTGGCTAATGTTTGGAGCTTTCCTTGGTACAATGTCGGCCCATACACGACGTGGAGAAGAAGGCTGCGCATGGGAAACTTTCCTTTTCCGGCATGAAGAAAACCCTACGCGACTTCGCCCATATATACATGTTTTTAGCCGCTGAAGAAGAGAGATCGAGAGTCCAGTAAAATTATCAAAGAGTTACGTGTGAGAAGAGAGAGAGAGAGAGAAGCCCTAGGAGATCGTCCAAGAAGAAGGAGGCGCCGCTCAACTCTTGTTCTTTCTTTTTCATTGTTTCCATTTCTATAAACTTGATCTTAAGAGTTTTCAAGGGAGAATCCGACTTTGTTCATCAATAGAGAAGCTTTCTTCATCCCTTTATCTCTTTTAATACTTGCATAATGTTTACAATCATGCTTTGCTTGCTTGTTTGCATCATGGCCGAGTAGATCTCTTAGTTAGGCCGAGGAGATCTATGGTGGCCGTGATGATTTGATTGTGTTGCAACTTATTGGGATTTATCTTATGGATCTTCACCTTTACTTGAGCTTAATGCATGATTACTCTACCGTACATCTAGTAATCTGATCTTAGAGAAATAGAACCACGACAGTGCTGAATCTAGATCTCAAAACTAGTATTTGGTGAGCAATAGATCATAGCCAACGAAAGCTGAGTTATGGTTTATTGTGAACAATTGAATCTTGAACCTTTAATGCATGTTTGCAATTCTAATAGCCAACGAAAGCTGAGTATATTAGGTTGTTTTAAACATAGTGGTTGGAGCCACGACAGTGGAAAGACCATACACTAGTGATTCATGTTCAAGACGGCTCTACACACATCCCATGCAACTATCTTTTCATCATTGCTCCATATGATTGTCCTTTGCCTAACTCTTGTTTTAAATTGTTTACAAACTCACTCACATTTCTTTTGTTTTGTTTTCTCATTCTAGGTCCAAAACCATCCTCATATTGCGAGCTAGCTACAAACCAATCTCACAAGGTGTTAAGCGAGAACACTTCCTCCTCGTGTTCGACCCCGACTACAACACGGCTGTGCACTTGCAGCTCATTAGTTGGGTTTATAAATTGTGAAAATTTGAGGCAATCTAAACCCGCCATCAAGCTTTCTGGCGCCGTTGCCGGGGAGGAGTTGCTTTTCCTTCACACCTCTTGATTGATTTCAAGACTAGCTCATCTCATCTTTCACTTTTCTTTGTTTTTGTTTTTCATAAAATCTTAAAAATCATAAAAATTTTACTTAACTCTCTCTTTGTGTGTTTCTAAGGTGCATGACAAGAAGGTCCAATCCAAATACAACCATTGAAGAAGATCTTGACATTGACCAACTTGAGCGCACACTTAGGCGACTAAGGAGAGAAAGAATGAATCCAGGCGGAGAAGGCGCGCCAAATAGGCCACACAACCCGCCCGACCAAGAGAGGAGAGCCAATGATCCTCCTAATCCAGCAGAAGCTAGAGCTGACCAGCCAGCACCGGCCAGAGACGTTCCTCCACCCAATCCGAACGCGCCCGATGCAGCTGAGCCGCTACAGCCACCTCTTAACCCGCCGCGACCACCACCGGCGTTTGCAAATGGACATCATCGTCACGGTGACAACCAAGGGATGCCTCAAGACCAACCTCACGCACCTCCAAGGAGAGTGCCAAACGCGCAGCATCCAAGGCACCAAACTATGGGAGACTTTGATTCGTCCGATGCTTTCTTTATGGATCGGAATCCAATCCGACCGCCTCTACCTCCAAGGAACGATTTTGAGATCAAACCGCAGATCATTGCCTTGGTGAAGCAAAACCAATTCCATGGTTTGCCCACTGAGCATCCTCTTGATCACGTCGACACCTTTGAGGAGATATGTAGCACAACTCGTGTTAATGGAGTATCGCCGGATTACTTCAAGTGCAAGCTATTCACTTTTTCTCTAAGTGACAAGGCGCTAAGATGGGTAAAATCTTTACCACCTCAGTCCATTACAACATGGAATGAATACAAGGGAGCTTTCTTGAACCAATTCTACACTAAGCAAAGATCCAACTCTATAAGGAGCAAGATTTCTGGTTTCAAGCAAGATTCAATGGAGTCATTCTATGAAGCTTTGGAGAGATTCAAGGAGTACACAAGAAGCTGCCCTAACCATGGCTTTTCAGAAGGTAACCTTTGGAACATCTTTTACAATGGGATTGATCATAAATACAAGCTTTCTCTCGATACCGCGAGCAATGGTAATTTCATGACCAAGTCGGTGCCGGAGGCAAAGCTTTTGATTGAGAATCTCGCTGCTAGTGATGCCAATGCATGCCCTGACTACAATAGAAGCGTGAAGACCACGAGCTCATCAGAATCAGCTCAAATCTCGGAGCTAAGGAACATGGTTTCACAACTACTTAAAAGCCGACAAGGAGTTCACGCCATTGAAGATGCCCTAGCCACAAATGAAGACACTCTTATGGATTTCATGAGAGATGGCACTGAAGAGAATCTAGAGGAAGTCAACTACATTGGAGGAAACTATGGGAATAGAGGATTCAATCCACCATTTCGCGCGCATCCAAACCTATCATACCGGAGCAACAATGTGGAGAATCCAAATGACCAAGTCTACCCCAATCAAGGAGCGTATCAAGGAGGCCAATACCAATCCAAGCCACAACAAGTCTATCCAAGAGGGATGTACCAAGTGAAGCAACCATTCACTTTTTCTCAAGAAACAAATCCAACCCAAACCGGAGAGAAGGTTGACGTGGCGTTGAAGAAATACATGGAGGAGCAGAGATTGATCACCAAGAACCTATATGAGAAGCTTGATCACATGTTTGGTGATCTAAGCAGCAAGTTTGGGTCTCTCTCTACTCACGTTCAAAAGCTTGAGGTGCAAATCGCTCAAACAGCCGAGGCGGCCAAGAAACAAAATGAGGTAAACACTCAAAAATTTTGTAGTGTTGTCTCATCTATAGATGGCACAATTGTTCCTACACTATCTCAAGGGGAAGAAGAAGAAAATGAGCCTAAGGAGAGGCACAAACCGGAGAGATACAGTTGGGAATCAAGAAGAGCTTACAAGAGAAGACTTGAAGGCAAGCCACTACAAAAACAAGAAGATCCGGGGAAGTTTGTGATAACTTCAAGTATCAATGGCATTCAACTCCACGATTGCCTATGTGATACTGGTGCTAATGTTAATCTAATGTCTCTTGCACTTGCAAAAGATTTGGGATTCAAGGAATTCAAGAGCCCCAAGATAAGAGTCGAGTTCGCGGATCTATCGTGCATGGAACCTATGGAATGCTTGAAGATGTCATGATGGAAATAGGGGGTCGATCGGTCCCAACTGACTTTCAAGTCATGATTTGGGAAGGCTCAAAGAGGAATCAACTGATTCTTGGAACCCCATTCCTTGCTACAGCTGGAGCGGTCCTAAACTACTTTGGGAATCATCTATCTTTTGGCCACATCCGGCAAGATATCTTTTTCCCAAGTGTAAATTTCAGGTCAGTGCCAAGTGCGACCAAGCTACCACCAGAAGAAGCCACTCTCACGCCTAAGAAAGAAGCTATGCTGCATGGAGAAAGAAGAGAGAGTGAGCGCTACCCAAAACCAAAGGAGAAGAAGAAAACATTGGAGCCGAGGCATGAAAATGTCTTTAAGGAATCAACTCCATCTCACTTCCAACCTTTGATGAATATGGAGCTGAAGAGGAGACTAATGGTGCACCTAATCTCTTTCACAAGATAAGAATCTTTACACCAAAAGATTCGGAGCTTAAAGGTGACCAATCCATTGAAGAGAAGCTTGAGAGAACTATGAAGCTTTTCCCCAAGGCATTGGTTTTCAAAGATGATGTGAGAGATGACTATGGCGCGACAACACCACCACAAGAATCCACTACACCGGAGAATGGAGAAGCTAAAGGGATCCTTTGCCCTTCAGCCACTCTTCACCACGATTGAAAGAAAGAAAAGGAGTCAAGCTAAATGACTTAAAACAAAAGCGCTTTATGGGAGGCAACCCATATGGTTTTTAACTATCTATTTCTATTTTGCAGGAGTTTTTCAAAAATCAAACAAAAATACAAAAATATTTTCTTAGGATGAAGACCCAAAGGAGACCAAACAATGGAAGTGTCCCACCCAATGAGCCCACCCTTGTACAAGGCGTTTCTCTTCCAAAAGGTAAGTAAACTCTCACCTAGTATTCATTTCTAATCACTCTTGATCTTCACTTGAAAAATCGTTTAAACCATTGCACTTTATCAAATATATTTCATGGTTTAACTTGATTTACTTTTGATGATTGGAAAGAATACATAATCACTTGTCAAAACTCATTTTGCTCACTGAAATTACAAGAGATTGAACTATAGTTTGAAATTTGGATCATTGACCAAGACCAAATAAGAATTTATAGTTTGTGCTTTAATCTCTTGGATTGTGAACTTCAAGTTGGTCACTTGAGGATCACAATCTGAGAAACCATCTAATCATGATTTCAAGTGTTTTGCAAGGAGTTAACCATTTGACAGGAAGGAGAAATAAGCAAACCTATCAACCACCTCAAAACCAACATGCATATGGCGGCCAAAGGGAGGTTAAAAGGAGATACATAGGCCATCACACGAAACAAGGCGGCCACCACTTGGGAATGACACAGGAGGGTTATTAAAACAATTCGATCGAAGAAAATCTCAATTGGCCCGAGTGGATTTGAAGAAATTCAATCCAGGACATTTCTCTCGGCCATACCGCGCACAAGGAAGCCAACTACGGCCAACTCCTAAACGGCGTGACCAAAGTCCACCAAACTTCACAGGCGACCATAAAATCACATTTTGGTCGGCAAATCCAAAAGATAGGACGGAGAAATCATCACGGATCATGAGATAGACGACGGAGCCCATTCTGGCCGATGGCGCGCAAGCAATATGGCCGACAAAACCAAATCACGGCATAGGCGCGCCAACCGGTTGGAAAACTCTTCTTTGAGCTTAACTAACACTTTTATGCAGGAAGAAACGAAAAGGAACGAGCCAAACTCCACATGGCCAAGGAAACTCCTTCCCGGAGCCGACTTGACCGTTTTGTGAAGGAAGTCTCAACCCGCTCGTACGAATGCTCCCAAACTTCACCAGAGGCTCTAAAATACCAGGTTGGTCGATGAAATTTCAATATAGGTCATGAAATTTTTGACGGTTTGTTCTGTAGTTCACAGCACCACATTTTGGCCGACCGAATATACCAATCTCGGCCAAAACACAAACCGGCGGAAACCAAGGCCTGAAATTAAAAACTCACCGACCAATATTGCCTAAAGAAGTGTAGAATGACCCAAACCAGAACTGATCTTCATTATAAATTGGTCGACATTTGGTAACATCATCCTAAACCTTTTTCTTTTCAATTTTTCATTTGAACTTCATGTTATCACTACAAGAAAACATAACGGTTTCCTACGAACATAATCGTTAAAACATTGTAGGAAACAGTGATTTCTTACCGATTTCCTACGAAATTGAGTCGTAGGGTTTCTTCCGTAGGAAAATCGAAAACGGTAGGAAAATCGTAATAAATTGCCTGTTTTCCTACGAAATTTATCGAAGGAAACTTCGAAGGAAAACGCCGTAGGTAATTCGTAGGAAAATCGTAGTAACATGCTAACCAATTTCCAACGAAAATATTCGTAGATAAGAGATTCTCTACCACTTACCTACCAATATAATCAACCTTTTACCTACGATTTAACTTGGAGATATTATCTACTATTATCCTACAAAAATGTTTCTTACCAATTTCCTACGAGTTTAATTAAAAATCAAATGACCAATATTCAAAAATAAATTAGTACAAAATTTTAAATTGAAATTAATTAGTAGAAAATAATTATAAGTTTAAATAACATTAAACATAAGCCAAATATTTTACATTACAAAATACCAAAAAAAAGATCTACATAGATTCTTTTTTTTTTAAGTTCTAGAAGCTTAATTAGTAGAAAAAGAAACACCTTAAATTCCCATAATCTATTCTTGAGTCTCTGATTCATCCTCCTCCATTGGAGATGACAAAGGAGACGGTGGACAAATGCCTAACTTATCAAGGAATAACTTGTTGCATTTTAAGAGAAATTTGATTTGATTATCTTTCTCAATTTGAATCTTCTTCAACGTCTTCACCTCCTCTCGCAGTTGCTCGTGATCTTCATGGGCTGCATTAGAGTTGCATGGAAAAGACATGTGCATGTTATCCACTAACCTCTTCAACCCATGTCGACCTTGTTTATCATAGGTTGCTGAGATTATCTAACAATGTAAAAACAAAGTAAGGTAATATATATTAATTGGAAACTTAATGATTTGAGTCAAACATTGAGGAAAATTAACTTACTCTAACAACAACAGCATTAAACTCCGCTTGTGTCATGGGGCCTTCTCCTTGACTCTGCCGTTGAGAAGCAATCTGGTTTACCTGAGACCTAACTGTCTCAGTAATCTGTACCACTTTCTTGTCCTTTACACCTGTCTTTTTATTTGTGTGCATGAGTTCAATGAGTTTAAGCATATCAGGCTCGTTCCCTCCAGCTTCGTCCCTCTGCCAAGCATTTAAACAAAAATAATAAGCAAAGAGATATCAATTTGATACAACAAATAAAATAGTAGAGTACAATTATACCAATTCATCCCATAGACGTTCTGTGGTTTTAGCTCCGTTGTTGTGTATTGATTGGCCTAAACCGTCTCTCGGGCTTTTTCGGTTTCTCGAGTTTGTGGCTGCTGTCTTTGCCACTTTCTCAGTCCCCCACATTTTCCTGTAACCGTCAAAGAGAGTTTTCTTCGCTTTCATCCACTCTGGTAAGTCATCAGGTGCTTTTGCTTTGATTTTTCTCTTCCACATAGACAAGTTTGATTTGAAAGATGCAACGGCCTGCGTTGTGTAATCATTTCTGACCATTTCGGTAATGCTTGGGTCCCAATTGAACTCTTGCTGGATAAGAAACTAACTGTAATTAGATACTTTAACTACAAAGAATCACCTTAGTTAAATATTTTAAAATGAATCACAATTACCGCAAATGCTTGAAACCACCAATTCTTAACCTCCATTGGGAGACTATTATATGTAGGATAAGGGTGAGGAATATCAGATTTAAGCATTTTCAACAACTGCTTTACAATCCTCCCCGTCTTATCACGTCTGAACCTACAACCGAAATGCAATGCAATGTACTCTTTTTTGGTAAGCATCACAATATCTGAAAGGGTTAAAGAAATTTTGTTAACTTTACCAAATATCTTTTCCAACGCAGTCTGGATGGAGTCTCCGCATGTTAGTGCGACCAGGAGCTTGCAAGATATGGTCCACCGAACATAATGTCTCCACAGTCGATTCTTCAGCCTCGAGACCATCTGTATTGGATGGTCCATCATCCCTACTACTACGACTGCCATGGTTGTGTTGAGGAAGTGGTTGAGATATACACCGTGCTAAGTCATCAATGGTGAAGTTTGGTGTAGAGCTTTCATATCCGTGCCTTTCTTGAGACATGAAGCGGTCAAAATCTTCACGAGTAATGGTATCCTACAACGAAAAAAGGTTACATGTTACTTTTTAATTAACAATGAATTAGCTTTCATAAGTATAATAATCTAATCAGGAATATTTATATATACACACATATATATAAATATATTTTTCTAAGTAACAAACAAACTTTCATAACAAATTAAAGTAGCAAAGAAACAAACAAGCACGTGTGAAGACAAAATTTTAGAATTTTCTAAGCAAAGAGATAGTGCAAAAACACATTTTCCAAGGAATCTAGAAACAAACAAGATAGAAATATTCAGAAACCGAATCCAGAATATAAAATAACATTAAATAAGAGGTTCGAGACAAGAAATCAGAAACCGAATCCAGAGAGTAATAACTTATCTAACCTAGAAACAGTTTTCATTTCTAACGACTTTGAGTGACCTGAATAACAAATCTACAAACACAAAATATAAGAGATAAGTTGTTACTGTACCTGGAAAACGGGGGGCAATGGTGGAGAGAACTGCTGGGTAGAACTCCTCGGATATGAAGACATGAGATTTCGCCGTGAAGTCAAATTTCGAGATGATTCGTTCGTCGCCATCTAATTTCGTCAAGGAAGAGAGAAAGAAAGAGATACGGCGGAGAAGCTGAATAGATTTAGGGTTAGTTATAATTAAATATTTAATTAATTAATTAAATAGTTAACAAGCCAAAAAATTAAAGGCCCAATCCAAACAAACGAAATTTGGGATACAAATGAGATTTTTCGTATCTTTCTCCTCTTAATGCTCTGTTATTGCTGCTCTGTTTCTTGTGAAATTCTGGGTTCTAACAGCGATGAACTTATTGAAACACAATCATCAAAATACCATCCAATTAAAAATAAAAAGGATTTTTTAGAAAATTTCAACAGCATACAATACAAAACTAATACAAATATATCTGATACATGTTGTAATTCATTAAATTAAAAAGGAATTATTACAAAGGTCTAGCACAAATCCTCAGAATCAGATGAGTATATTTCTGAAGGAGCAGAATCTGTACCATCTTCAAATTCTCCACTCTCTTCTTCTGAATCGTTGAATAAATCATTTGTTGCTTCTTCTCCTAAGTGTACCAAACTTGTCTCTTCCATTGATGGCTCAACATCACCTACGTTGTTAAGGTTACTCTGTTGCAAAGGTCCATTCTCTGTTACTCCATGTACTCTTCCCCTTGGGTTGATTTGTGTAACAATAAGCCAAGGGTCTCTTTTCCGTGTTACCCGGGGATATGGAATATAACACACTTGGTTTGCTTGGGATGCCAAAATGAAAGGATCATATTTGTTGAGTTTTCTTGAAGAGTTGGACGAACTCCTCCCCCGATGAATGGATTGTACCAATCACACATGAATAAGATGCATTTTAAGTTAATACCGCCAATGTACTCAACCTCCAAGATCTCTTTAAGCACACTGTAATATACCATATCACCAGCTGCCGTAGATATTCCAGAGTTCACCGTTTTGTTGCTAGTTCTCTCCTGAAATATCTTAAATGCAAACCCACGTGTGCAATACATCGGATAGCTTTGTGCAAGTGACAATGGACCAACGACCAACTCTTCTAACCAAGTCTCTAATGTGTAAACTTTCCTATTACATGTTTGGACCTGTTTTTTCTTCAAAAAATTAGTAACTAAAAACTTATTTAAGAAATGCAATTTGTAAATTACTATACTCACATAAAATCGCATCCAATGTGCAAACTCCTTTTGCTTATGCCTTCCAATTTCATCCTCACCATAATTAGGATAACGAGTCTTTAATTGGTCAACATACATTCTGCAAATTGACACTATTTAGTTGAATTTTGAAATAAAAAATTTAAAAAAATGAAACACATATAAAAAAATTCAATTATTATACCTTTCGTATGGTAATAATTCTTCGCAGTTAAGAAGAATGTAAGTATGTAAATGAGCTTGTTCTTCCTCTCTCAGCCACCGTTTCTTGGGTTTTCCACTTAATCGCCCTACTTGTGTAAAGATATCTGGTACAGGGGTGGAATAATTTGGTTTTTCTCCTCCATCATCATTACGACTCGGTTTTCTGCTTTTGGTTTGTACACGTGGGGCGAAGTAGTACGCAGAAAAATTAGATCTCTCTTCATTGAGGCTTTGAGCAACAATAGATCCTTCCACTCTGCTAAGATTTTTCACCTTCTTTTTCAAGTGAAACATAAATCTCTCGAATGGATACATCCACCTATATTGTACAGGGCCACCAAGTTCTGCTTCTCTAGGGAGATGAATTGCAAGATGCTCCATTATATCAAAAAATGATGGTGGAAATATCCTTTCAAGTTCACAGAGAAGAACCGGGATATTTTCAGACAGCTTTTGAATTCCATCTGCTGTAAATGATCGTGTGCATAAATCCCTAAAAAATGCACTTATTCCTGCATTTAAAAAGTAATTTTAATTAGATATAAGTTAATATAAGTAACTTATATATAAGTAATTTAATTATATAATTAAAAAATTTAGTGAAGTGATAATTACCTGCGATAGCTTCATGCACATGTTCTGGTAAAAGTTTAGCAAATGCGAATGGTAGCAAACGTTGCATAAACACATGACAATCATGACTCTTCATTCTAGATAATCTTCCTTCTCGGCTATCAACGCAGTTACGTAGGTTGGAAGCATAACCATCTGGAAATTTTACACTATGGATAATCCACTGGAAAAATTCAGTTTTCGCTTCTCCATCTAATCTAAAAGCGGGGAAGGGACTCTTTCCATTTGGTAAGACATGAAGAGCATTGCGGACACAGAAAAGAGGTAAGTCTAACCTTGACTTCAGATTATCTTTTGTCTTTCCTTGAACATTTAGAACTGCGTTCATGATGTTATCAAAAAAATTCTTCTCAATGTGCATCACATCGAGGTTGTGCCTCAACAAATGGTCTTTCCAATATGGCAAATCCCAAAAAATACTTCTCTTGTGCCAGTTGTGGTAGTCTCCATAACCATTCACCCGAGAATATCCATTCCCACCGCACTCTGCTGTCCTTTCAGCCCCAACATCTTCAAGTTCCTCCAATATATCTAAACCATCTACCTCGGGAGGAGGAGTGTCGTAGACAACTTTATTCTTCAAAAACCAACTTTCTTTGTAGCGATAAGGATGCGAGGCTGGCAAAAAGCGTCTATGACTGTCAAACCAACACGTCTTCTGTCCATGTTTTAACTGAAACGCATTTGTATCATCTTGACAATAAGGACATGATAACCTTCCATGCGTTGTCCATCCAGATAACATTCCATAGGCTGGAAAATCGCTAATGGTCCACATTAGCACTGCACGCATTACAAAGTTTTGTTGGCATGAGACATCAAAGGCTTGCACTCCATGATTCCATAACTCTTGCAACTCATGAATCAATGGCTGTAAAAACACATCAAGTGACCGCTTTGGGTGCTCCGGACCAGAAACAAGTACTGTGAGAAATAGAAACTCCCATTTCATGCACAAAGACGGAGGCAAATTGTAAGGGGTGACAATGACTGGCCACAATGAATACTGTCTACCATGCCTTCCAAATGGGTTGAAGCCATCTGTACTTAGCCCAAGATATACATTCCTGCTCTCAGATGCAAAAGACGGATAAACTGTTTGAAAATGTTTCCATGCCTCTGCGTCTGAGGGATGAGCGATTTCACCATCGCTTGAATGATCTTGATGCCATCTCATAGCCCTTGCAGTTCGTTCAGACTGATATAGCCTTTTCAACCTATCCGCTAATGGCAGATACCACATACGCTTAAACGCCACTCGAACTCTCCCTCCGGTGTTCTGAAACCGAGGCTTTCCGCAAAATCGACAAGCCAAGAATTTTGCGTCTTCTTTCCAGTAAATCATACAGTTGTCGATGCAAACGTCGATCATCTGATATGGCAAACCAAGACCAGAAACAAGCTTCTCAACCGCAGAAAATGTAGTTGGTGCCAAATTGTCTTCCGGTAAAATTTCATTGACAAAATCAGCAAAACCATCTACTAAATCCTCAGGCAAATTATAGTCAGTCTTGAAATTCATCAACCTTGTTGCAACGTACAAAGGAGAATGGCCTGGCTTACAACCTGCATATAGTGGTTGTTTTGATGCGTCTAACATAGTAAAAAATCTACTTGCTTCCAAATTTGGTTCCTCTACTCTATTTCCGTCTTCTGGGAACATATGACTATTCTCCATAAACGCATCATGAACCATCTGAACCGTACCTACGTTCTCTTCTATCATTCTAGGTTCCTCTAACCTTTCTACCATTCTAGGTTCCTCAAGCCTTTCTGCCATATACTCACTAGTACTACCCACATTCATGTAATCATTTTCTCCATGACAATACCACACTTTATAATTTGGCCTAAATCCTCGACTACTTAAATGATTCCACACCTTACTAACAGTGATGAATTTATTATTATCACATCTTGGACAAGGACAAAACAACTTACCACTTTGTAAGCATATGTCCTGATTTGTTGCGAATCGCATGAATTCGGTGAGTCCAACAGCGAAATCTTCATTATGACGTCCGGTACTTGAATCCCATCTATCGTTATACATCCATGATCGCCAATTGTCATCATTTGTGGACATTTTTGAAGATTTTTTCGTGTTTTCTTGGTTATATTTACCTTAGCAATTGTTTATGAGGTTTATATAGACTCAGTTTGGCTCACCAACGGCTATTTAACTTTTAAAGTTTTTCCTACACATTTCCTACCAATATCCTACCCATTTTCATAACGGATATATTTTAAACGGTCATAAATATTATTTATAGAATTCCTACGACTAACTAACGATTTTTCAATTATTTACTGATTTCCTACCACTTTTCAAATTTCATTTTCTACGATATTCTTTCGAATAATAGATAGAGATATTGCTGTAAGAATCTCGTAGGAAATTATTGATGACGTTTGTACGGTCGTAACGGTTATCTTGTCTTCACCAATTTCCTACGAATTGTTAACTACATTTCCTACCAAAATTATGTGCGTAAGAATGTGGTAGGAAATGGCTGACCGGTTTCTTACGACGTCTTTTCGTAGGAAAGTTCCTACCAATTGTCGACCAACATTGTTTTGCGTAGTAATATCGTAGAAAAAGGGTAAAAAATCTTTCCTACAACACATTTCGTAGGAATGATCGTAGAAATACACCATGTTTTCTTGTAGTGTATGCCTCTCTTAATCCGATTTAATTTCACCGGGACGGTGCAAGTTAAGTCTGGGGGGATTACTAACAATGTTTGTTCATTTTGGCATTCTCATTTGCATTTTTCCCTTTTTATCGAGTCGTTTTTATTGAGTCAAAATTTTGTCGAGAATCATGACCTTATCTTGGATCTAACCATGTTGTACTAATGTTTAAGTGACCATTGAGCAGTTCTTGGCAATACATCTTACCACAGGTGCACTATGAGTTGATCGATCTACCAAAAACGCCTACATCTCTAAAGACTTGAGAAGGATCCATCTTTGACTCCGCCCTTA